AGAGAGAGAGAGAGATTAATTAGGTAATTACACTTTATGAGTACTCTCTCTTTTCTTGGGCTTTTCAATTTCAGAAAGGATAGAAGCAATAAAAAGGAAAGCAAGAAAAAAAGTATGAGAGGAAAGAAAGAATTGCAATTCTTCTATTATTCTATATTGGGCTTCCCCATCTTCTCGTCTATTTTCTCTCTCTCTAAAGTCTTCTGTTTTCTCTCTCTAGAAAAAAACTGAGTAATTTGAATTGGTAATTAAACTACCAGTTCTCTTCCAAGATCGACAGCTGCATCACTGAAAGAAGGCCGGTTTCCTGATCGACTTCCACAGAAGACGCATATTGTCTTGAATTTGCCGACCATCACAGCCTTCTCTTCATTGATCTCCATCCTATTATTGCACCAATTAAATAAAATAAAATTCAGAATCCATGGAAACTCAAGAAAAATCATGAGAAAGTTTTTTGCAATATTAAAGAGAAGAGACACCCACTGCTTTTGAATCTTCACCCTCTTATCCGAACACCCCTTTTGTCTGCTTAAATAACCAGTACTTGGTGTTGGAGAAGACCCCAACAAGAATCCAAACCCAACTCTTCAATTATTGTTCTTTTTTCTCTTTCCTTTTGTTCTCTCTCTCACTTTTCTCTCTCTCTCTCTCGTGATTAGTTCACTTTCTCTCTCTTCCATCTCTCTCTCATTTTAAGTGCACGTTTAGGGTCCCTCCAATCACTCTCTCTCTTTCTCTGATGTTTAGAGCACTGTAAGGTCCCTTAAATCTCTCTCTCTCTACCCTTTTTTTTTTTTTTTCATTGAAATTAGGGTGAGGTTTGTATAAGGTGTTAACCCTAAACAATCACGGTAAAGTACATCTCAAAATCCCGTTACAAGATGTATTTTCGGTGCCCAAACTCTCATTAGGGCCTAAAAGTTTATTTTTTATTGTTATTATAAAATTAAAAGCTCCAAAAATGGTGTATATCTAGCAGATCCATAAACACTTGAAAATCTTAAAAATAGACTGTCTAGATAATGTGTTACAAGATATACTATTTCTAAAACTTAAAATTAATTTTTTCTTTCGTATCCATTTATAGCGAAGTCAAGATGAGGGTTTTTGCGGTGCAGCCTATATAAACTTTTTCCTTGAAATTATAGTGTGACTTGTGTTTCATTTTCTCACTTCTTAAATCCCAAATCCCTTTTCCCTTGTGAATCACAGAACCCCATCACCCCCCGTTAGGGCCATTTAATTTCTATATTACTCGTGATTTTATTTCACCACCTTTTCTGTCTAATAATTGTTGCCTCCCCTATCAACGCCCCTCGTTGCACGTGTCAAAACATAATTAGATATTTACGCGAAATCCAATTTGTATTAGTGCCTACTTTTGGGTGAGGCAGGGGTTGAGAGCTATTATGATTGAAAATTCCCTAAGCTCATTCTTAATCCCATAAAGGATTTGGTTTTGTTTTGAAACACACCGGTAAATTGGCATGTTGGCTTTAATAGAAGACTAATGGACTCACAAATTTAATTTTAAAATGACCTAGTAGTCTTTTATTTTACCTCATTGTTACATTACTATTTCATTATGATAGACAAATATACTTAGGGCATATTTGATAAGTGGAAGTTTTCGAAAATGAGACTTAAATGTCTCATTTTCATGTTTGATATTACAGTGTGGAAATTGTAAAGTGGAAGGGTAGCATTCCATGTAAGCTTTTTTTTAATGTTAAAATGAATTTATTTTTAAAACACCTATGTTCCATAAAAACGATGGAAGGGCAGTCTTCCATAATTTGTTAGAGAATCCCTTCCACTCCCAAAACCTCCATGTGCCAAACACACCCTTAGATGAATCCTCCTCCAAAAATTAATATAGCTTCAATAAATAGAGAAAATGATCTCTCTATCTCTCCCCATTTTCTGCGTGTTTCCTTGGTGTTTGGGATACCAAGAGTTGGAATCAATCAAAGTCAAATCTAAATCCAAGTCAATCAATCACTAATTCTCGATGTGTCGGACCAATGATCTAGACAAATCTTGTCAAGATTACCCTATTCATTGTCGTAAACCGATCGGTTTCACCAAAAAGCATGATTAAGACGATTTTGAAAAATTGCCCAATCAGTTTGAAAAAAGTCAAGCGAACAAAGTAACTCTTTTTAACACATTACCCCTTTTAAGGGATTTCTCCTTATTTCCAATCATGTTTCGGTGTCTGTTTTTTACGGTGTCTAGAAGATTTCTTTAATCGAAACAGAAATTTGACCAAATAAAAAGTTTTTGACTTGGAAAAAAGTTTTTGACTTAGAAAGTTTGACTTTTTCTCTATTTTGAACCCTAATCTCTTGGTTTCGAGGTTTTAAACCGAAAAATTGTTGTGGCTATCTGTTGTAATAGTCTTAAGTATAACCACAAACCAAAATTAGCTTATTTTTAAGTTTTCTTTTCATATTTTTTAAATAAATTTGAACCAGATCGCCCTGAACGATTCACTCAGAACTAACAAAGTTACTTGTGTTTTCAATTGCAGGAGGCCCCGCTTCCATTTTTCAGAAATTTTGATTTCCCTGGTGGTCACTTCAATTATCCCCATATGTCATTTCAAATTTCCCATCTTTCCTCTGGTGATCATTTCACTTTTCCCCTTCCTCACCATGGAAATCATTCAAATTTCCTCATATTTTCCCTTGAGATGTATAAGCCACATAAACCATGAATTTACTATTTTTTAATGATTAACACATCAATCTATTCTTAAACATTTCTTGTATTCAAGACATCTTTCAAATGTCATATATATTTCGAAGTGCAAGAAAAGGGCATGATGCTCAACACTCAAAAGGGGACAGAATTTTAGGGAATGATGAATTTTCAGGACATTCTTGAAGATTTGGTACATTTAGCGAAAATGAGTTATGGCTTTGTTTGTCATGAGCCCTTTTTGAGTTGCAGCGTGCTCTAGATTTTCCACTTTCAGGAAAAGCTAGAAAAGCAAGCACATTCAAGGAAAAGAAATTCTGGAAAAAGATGAAAATTGTTAGTGTGAAAGAGGGGGGCAAACAAACTTTCAAAAGGAAGCAAGGTAGCAAACATTTTCAAAGGATCCATTTTGTTATCTCTTTCACACACACATTTTCTCAGGACCCATTTTGTTATCTCTCTCACACACACATTTTCTATGGACCCATTTTGTTATCTCTCTCTCACACTCATTTTCTAAGGACCCATTTTGTTATCTCTCCCCTCTCTCACACACATTTTCTAAGGACCCATTTTGTTGTCTCTCTCTTTTTGTCTCTCTCACACACATTTTCTAAGGACCCATTTTGTTATCTCTTTCTCTCACACACACATTTCTAAGGACCCATTTTGGTATCTCTCTCTCTCTGCACTAGTTGTTCCTTTTGAAATTTAATAAGATTCAACCTAAACCCGGTTTCTCTCTCTCTCTGCACTAGTTGTTCCTTTCGAAATTTAATAAGATTCAACCTAAACCAGGAAATATTTTGTGGGGTTACACCTGATTGCCTTGTTGTATGGTGCTTTTTCAAGTGGCCCCTAGGCTAGATACTCATTTTTAGTCATTGATTTTTTTATTTTTTATTTGTAAGGACACGGTTTCTGTGAGTCCATGTAGAAATGAGTCACTTTTTAAAATCCATTTTTGAGATGGGTTTTTGGATTTAATTTTTAAGGACATGTAATCTCTAACATGGAGATCATGTATGTGAATAAATAAATTAATTTTAAAAATTAAAAATAATAGTTCTATTAAAAAAACATTTTGACCGTTAGTTTCAATTGTCTTCAGATGGACCACCTATTTGTATCCATCTTTAAGATGGATGCTTTAAAACTTGGG